GCAAGGTCACTGGGTTCTGGTGGTTTCACGTTGTTTTTCAGATTGTTGGGTGAATTCTTGCATTGGCGCCTGCCCATCTCTTCCTCCGAATACTCTCCTATGGATCTTCTTTTACAGAATCAGGTCTTCTTGCCCACTGATGTACCTTCCCAGTGATGTCACTCCCCAGTGATGGTTCTCCTGGTGTCCAGATCAGATATCCGCGCTGCTTGGGTAGCTCACAAACAAAGGGCCCACCCTGCTCGCTGCAGGCAGGCTATGGAGACAAAGGAACTACCGCCCTCCCTTTTGCCCTCCCCGAACGGTCTCAGCACTCGAGCAGGCTGAGCTGGGAGGTGCTATGCCACCAAAGAGGGAAGGGAGGGAAAGAGGGAGGGAGGGAGGGAGGGAGACAGGGGGTAGGGGGTTCTGGATGTAAGCTGGGTGGGATGGGAAGAGAGAGGAGGTATCGGGCAGTATAGCCCCTGCAGGATGATCAGGAAATGGAGGAGGGATGAGGAACGTCTGAGTTCCCTGTTCCCCGCTGCCGCCGCACTCACTCACCCCAATGATGGCTCTCCTGGTGCCCAGATCGAAACTCCGTGCTGCTTGGGTAGCTTGCAAACAAAGAACCCACCCTGCTTGCTGCAGGCAGGCTATGGAGACAAAGGAACTACCACCCTCCCTTTTGCCCTCCCGATTCGGGTTCAGTCCCAGCGCCCGAGCAGGCTGAGCTGGAAGGTGCTATGCCGCCAAAGACATGGCTTTATTTTCTTAATTAATTTATTTATCTATTAAAATCTCCACCTCCTCCTTTCCTCACATTTCCCTCTCTCCTCACCCATCCCCTTCCTACCCAGTCCTAAGAGAAGTTAGGGTGCCCTGCCCTGTGGGAAGTCCAAGGCCCTCCCCTTTCCATGCAGATCTACAAAAGGTGTGCATCCAAACAAACTAGGCTCCCAAAAAGCCAGTACATGCAGTAGAATCAAAACCCAGTGGCATTAGCATTGGCTTCTCAGTCAGCCCTCATTGTCAGCCACAATCAGAGAGTCCTGTCTGATCATATGCTCATTCATTCCCAGTCCATCTGGATTTGGTGAGCTACCATTAGATCAGACACACTGTCTCATTGGTTGGCTAACTGTTCACAGTCCTGAATTCCTTGCTCATGTTCTCCCTCCTTCTGTTCTTCATCTGGACCTTGGGAGATCAGTGCAGTGCTCCACTGTGCGTCTCTGTCTCTATCTGCATCCATCACCAGATGAAGTTTCTATGGTGATAATCAAGATATTCACCAGTGTGGATATAGGATAAGGCCAGTTCAGGCACCCTCTCCTCAGCTGCCCAAGGACCTAGCTAGGGACATCTCCTTGGACTCCTGGGAACCCCTCTAGAGCCAAGGCTCTTGTCAACCCTAAAATGGCTCCCTTAATTAAGATATAGTCTTTCTTGCTCCCATACCTACCCTTCCTCCATCTCAACCATTCCATTCCCCCAAGCTCTCCCCAATCCTCCCCTTCTCCCTTCTCTCTCCTTATCTCCCCTTCCCTCCACCCCACCCACACCCCCATGCTCCCAACTTTTGCCAGGCCATCTTGTCCAATTCCCAATCCAGGAGGATAAATATATGTTTTTCTTTAGGATCACCTTATTATGTTCTCTAGGATCACAAACTATAGGCTCAATGTCCTTTGTTTATGGCTAGAATCTACTAATGAGTGAATACATATCATATTCATCTTTATGGGTCTGGGTTACCTCACTCAGTAAAGTGTTTTTGATTCCATACATTTGCATGCAAAATTAAAGATGTCATTGTTGTTTTAAAAAGTAATCTATAGATTCAATGCAATCCTTATCAAAATCCCAACAAAAGTCTTCACAGATCTTCAGAGAACAATAATAAACTTTATATAGAAAAACAAAAAACCCAGGATAGCCAAAAACAATCCTATACAATAAAAGTACTTCCGGAGACATTACCATCCCTGACTTCAAACTCTATTACAGAACTGCAATAATGAAAACAGCTTGGTATTGGCATAAAAACAGAGATGTTGACCAATGGAATCAAATCGAAGACCTGGATATTAATCCACAAACCTATGAGCACCTGATTTTGGACAAATGAACTAAAATTATACAAAGGAAGAAAGAAAAAGTCTTTAACAAATGGTCCTGGCATAACTGGATGTCAACCTGTAAGAGAATGAATATAGACTCATATCTATCACCGTGCACAAAACTCAAGTCCAAATGGATTAAAGACCTCGATATAAATCTGACCACATTGAACCTGATAGAAAAGAAAGTTGGAAGTAGTCTGCAACACATGGGCACAGGAGACCTCTTCCTATGTATAACACTAGTTTCACAGACAACAATAGCAATAATGAATAAATGGGACCTCCTGAAATTGAGAAGCTTCTGTAAAGCAAAGCCACTGTCATTAAGATAAAAAGACAACCTACTGAATGGGAGAAGATTTTCACCAACCCCACATCAGACAAAGGTCTGATCTCCAAAATATATAAAGAACTCCAGAAACCAGACATTAAAACTCTAATTAACCCAATTAAAAAATGGGGTACTGAACTGAACAGAGAAATCTCAACAGAAGAATTTCAAGTGGCCAAAAGACATGTAAGGTCATGCTCAACCTCTTTAATAATCAGGGAAATGCAAATTAAAGCATTTTTGCGATACCATCTTACACCTATCAGAATAGCTAAAATCAAAAACACCTATGATAACCTATGCTGGAGAGGATTTGGAGTAAGGGGAACACACATCCATTGCTGTTGGGAATACAAACTTGTTCAACCACTTTATAAATCAGTGAGGCGGTTTCTCAGGAAACTGGGAGTCATCCTACCTCAGGATCCAGCAATTTCACTCTTGGGAATATACCCAAGAGATGCCCAATCATCTACAAGAGCATTTGTTCAACTATGTTCATAGCAGCACTATTTATAATAGCCAGAACCTGGAAACAACCTAGGTGCCCCTCAATGGAAGAATGGATAAAGAATTTGTGGCACATATACACATTAGAGTTCTACTCAGCATAAAAAACAATGACATATTAAATTTAATTTTTACAAAAATCTTTTCTCATTTCACACACATATCCTACTTTCCAGTCCCTCCCTTCTTCCTGCTCTCTCCTCCTTCCTTCCACTCCAGCCTCCCATGGCTTCCCAAGTGCTGGCAACAAAGTCTGACACATCAGTTTGAGGCAGGATCGAGGCCCTCCCCCCCATATCTTGGCTGAGTAATGTATCCCTCCAAAATGTATGGTCTCCACAATGCCAATTTGAGTAGTAAGGATAGTCACCATATTTAATGTAAATCTCTGCAATAATCTGTAATAGAGGAACTGGGTTCAGCACAAAATTCTCTACCAGATTTCTGGCTGACCAGCTTGCAAGCACCAAATGCAATCATGGTTATCTGGAATTTCAGGAGTATGGATGTAGGCTCAGTTTCGTTTCCAGTGGTCTTTTGTTACATTCAGCTTCTGGTTTTGCATTTTTGAAATTATGTAGATATAAGATATTATCTCAAACCTTTTCAAGTATACAAAGCAACATTCATGATACAGTAATGCCTTGATTAGTTCAATTATAACTCATGAATGTAGGAATATAATCAGTCAAATTACAAACATTAACAGTTTCTTCAGATTTCTTGTTAACACTTATTAGTATTTTATTTCAAATTTGATTATCTCTGAAATGCTTGTAGCATATTAGAAAGCTTGAAATAAAACAGTACTCTCTAGACAGTACAAGACTACTGTACTCATGAACTCCAAAGTCAAGCCAGTCAACACTCAAGCATGGAAGAGAAAGGCGCTCACAGGCCCCCACGCATTACTGAGAAACTAGTGGCAGTTGATGGCTTTTGGAGGAGGAAGGGTCAGTTTAATTTAGGGTGTGAATGCCAGGTAGTTTCAGCAAACTTAGTGACGGCTCTTACACATGAGCATATGGATATTGAAATAATCAGGCTAACTATGGTGATATTTAAATATTCTCGGTCTGACTGCAGGGCAAGGCTAGTTTGTCCCCCCTCTTCTCTATTGCTTAAAGTCTTGGCTGGAGTCATCCTTGTGGATTCCTGAAAATTTCTCTAGAGCCAGTTCTTTTGCTAGTCTCATAATGGCTCCCTCAATCAAAATGTCACTTTCCTGGCCCTCATCTCTGTTCTTCCTCCATCTCAACTATCCTGTTCCCTCAAGTTTTCTTTCTCCCTCTGCTTCTCCATTTCTCTCCTCCTCTAAACCTTCCACCCTCCCTGCTTCCCCCATACCCATGCTGCAAATTTTGTCAGGTAATCTTGTCTTTTTCCCCTTTCCAGGTGGATCTTTGTATTTCTTAGGATTCATCTTGATACTTAGCTTCTCTAGGATCATGGACTGTAGACACAATATCCTTTGCTTTACAGTTAGTATCCACTTATGAGTGACTATATATGATGTTCATCTTTCTAAGTCTAGGTTGCTTCACTCAGGATGGTTTTCTCTAGTTCCATTTATTTGCCTGTAAATTTCACAATGTCATTGTGTTTTTACAACTGAATACTACTCTAATGTGTAAATGTGGCACATTTTCTTTATCCATTCTTCAGTTGAGGGCATATAGATTGTTTCCAGGATCTGGCTTTTATAAATAATACTGCTATGAACATAGTTGAACAAATGTCCTTGTAGTATGATTGAATCTAAGAGCCAAAACATATATGATAAGTTTTAAAAGACTTTTGATTATATTACAGACGCCTTAATTGTCCAGCATGACCAGAAACAAGAAAACTATTATAAAACAATCAAAATAAATAGAGACAAAGCATGTATAAGGAATGTAGAAAGTGCTTTAAAAGATGTACATGCCTCACTAGGAATATGAGACTTAATCCCAAAGAGAAGGCATACAAATGCAAAGATTGTGGCAAGTCATTTACCCATCATCCAAATCTTAAAGCTCTCCAGAGAATCCATACTGGTAGAAACCTTACAGATGTCAAGAATGTGGCAAGACCTTTACCCAGTTCTCTAATATTCACAGACATCACAGAATCCATACTGATGAGAAACCTTATAAATGTCGATAATGTTGCAAGTTCTTTTCTATCACAGAAATCTTCAAGATCACCAGAGAATCCATACTGGTGAGAAACCTTACAAATGTCAAGCATGTGGCAAGTCAATTCCCAACTTCTTAACTCTTCAAACTCATCAAAGATTTCATACTGGTAAGAAACTTTACAGATGTCAAGCACGTGGCAAGTCCTTTTCCAAGGTCTCAACTCTTCAATTTCATCACAGAATTCATATCCATGAGAAACCTTACAGATGTAAAGAATGTGGCAACTTCTTTACCCGTCACAAAAATCTTCAAGATCACCATAGAATTCATACTGATGAGAAACCTTACAGAAGTCAAGAATTTGGCAAGTCCTTCATTGAGTCTATCATTTGTAATCCTAAAGAAGCTAAATAAGGTGAACCCAAAGAAAAACATATAGTCATCCGCCTGGATATGGGAAGTAGACAACATTGCCGGGCAAAAACTGGGAACTTGGGGGTGAGGTGGGAGAGGGGTAAGGGGAAATGGGGTGAGAAAAGTGAGAAGGGGAGGATGGGGGGAGCTTGGGGGAATGGGATGGTTGGGATAAAGGAAGGTTGGATATGGGAGCAGGGAACTATATATCCTAATTAAGGGAGCCATCTTAGGCTTGGCAAGAGACTTGACTCTAGAGGGGCTCGCAGGTGTCAAGGGAGATGTCCCCAGCTAGTACCTTGGGCAACTGAGGAGAGGGAACCTGAAATGACCCTATCCTATAGCCATACCGATGAATATCTTGCATATCACCTTAGAACCTTCATCTGGTGATGGATGGAGATAGAGACAGAGACCCATATAGGAGCACCGGACTGAGCTCCAAAGGTCCAAATGAGGAGCAAAAGGAGGGAGAACATGAGCAAAGAAGTCAGGACTGTGAGGGGTGCACCCACCCACCGTGACAGTGGAACTGATCTATTGGGAGCTCACCAAGGCCAGCTAGACTGGGACTGAATAAGCATGGGATAAAACCAGACTCTCTAAACATGGCAGACAATGAAGGCTGATGAGAAGCCAAGGACAATGGCACTAGGTTTCGATCCTACTCCATGAACTGGCTTTGTGGGAGCCTAGCCTGTTTGGATGCTCACCTTCCTGGACCTGGATGGAGGAGGGAGGACCTTCGACTTCCCACAGGGCAGGGAATCCGGACTGCTCTTCAGATTCGAGAGGAAGGAGGAATGGAGTAGGGGGAGAGGGAGAGGAGTTGGAGGTGGGAGGAGGCAGAAATTTTTTTTTCAACAAAAAAAAAATTAATTAATTAAAAAAAAAAGAATTTGGCAAGTCCTTCACCAAGGTCCAAACTCTTCAAACTCATCACAGAATTCATAGTGGTGAGAAACCTTAGAGATTTAGGAATGTGGCAAGTCCTTTAACACACAGTCAAATCTTAGAAAGCAGAAAAAAAAAAACATGTGATGGGTACATTTCACAAAATATCTTAGTGTAGCTCAAATTACTTCTCTCTACCAATCTTCATACATTGAAGAACTTATTACACAGACTAACATGCTTCAAGTAATATTCAAAGTTTAGTCAGTTCTTATAAATTTAGAAACATTGTATCTAGATTTGAACTTTATAGTCATCATATATTTGTTATAAAGTGAATAGTTTAGTCATTGTTGTTATGTTCACAATATTTAAACATCTGCTATTATGAATAAATAAATATTTCTAGTAGGATTGAAGTAAACAATAATAATTCTTTTTTTTTTACTTTATTTAAGAAAAGAAGAAAAAAAACATAAACAAAAAACAAGTTTCCACCTCCTCCCAGCCTCCCATTTCCCTCCCCCTCCTCCCACCCTTCTCCCCCTCCTTCCACCCTTCTACCCCTCCCCCCACTCCTCTCCCCCTCCCTCTCCAGTCCACAGAGCAGTCCAGGTTCCCTGCCCTGTGGTAAGTCCTAGGTCCTCCCCCCTCCGTCCATATCTAGGAAGGTGAACATCCAAACTGGCTAGGCTTCCACAAAGCCAGCACATTAAGTAGGATCAAAACCCCATGCCATTGTCCTTGGCGTCTCATCAGCCCTCATTGTTCGCCATGTTCAGAGAGTCCGGTTTTATCCCATGCTTTTTCGGTCACAGTCCAGCTGGCCTTGGTGAGCTCCCAGTAGGTCAGCTCCACTGTCTCAGTGGGTGGGTGCATGCCTCGTGGTCCCGACTTCTTTGCTCATGTTCTCCCTCCTTCTGCTCCTCATTGGGACCTTGGGAGCTCAGTCCAGTGCTCCAGTGTGGGTCTCTGTCTCTGTCTCCATCCATCACCAGATGAAGGTTCTATGATGATATGCAAGATATTCGTCAGTATTACTCTCGGATAGGGTCATTTCAGGTTCCCAATCCTCAGCTACCCAAGGAACTAACTGGGAACCTCATGTTGGGCACTTGGGAGCCCCTCTAGGGTCAAATCTCTTGCTCACCCTAAAGTGGTTCCCTTAACTAAGAATTGTGGTTCCGTGCTCCCCTATCCACCTTTCCTTTATCCCAATTCTCCTGATTCCCCAAATCCCCCCTCCTTCCCTTCTACCTTTTCTCTCCCCATCTCCCCTTACCCCCATCCCACCCCACCCCCAAGATCCTAATTTTCTCCCCGGCAATTGGGTCTACTTCCCTTAGCCAAGAGGATAACTATATGTTTTTCCTTGGGTTCACCTTCTTACTTAGCTTCTTTAGGTTCACCTATTGTAGACTCCGTGGCCCTAATTTATGGCTAGAAACCAATTATGAGTGAGTACATCCCATGTTCATCTTTTTGGGTCTGGGACACCTCACTCAGGATAGTGTTTTCTATTTCCATCCATTTGCCTGCAAAATTCGAGAAGTCATTGTTTTTTACCGCAGCGTAGTACTCTAGCGTGTATATATTCCATACTTTCTTCATCCATTCTTCCATTGAAGGGCATCTAGGTTGTTTCCAGGTTCTGGCTATTACAAATAATACTGCTATGAACATAGTTGAACAAATGCTTTTGTCATATGATAGAGCATCTCTTGGGTATATTCCCAGGAGTGGTATTGCTGGGTCCAGGGGTAAGTTGATCCCGAATTTCCTGAGAAACCGAAACACTGACTTCCACAGTGGTTGCACAAGATGGCATTCCCACCAGCAATGGATGAGGGTACCCGTTCCTCCACAGCCTCTCAAGCAAAGGTTATCCTTGGTGTTTTTGACTTTAGCCATTCTGACAGGTGTAAGATGATATCTCAAAGTTGTTTTGATTTGCATTTCCCTGATTGCTAAGGAAGTTGAGCATGACTTTAAGTGTCTTTTGGCCATTTGAACTTCCTCTGCTGAGAATTCTCTGTTCAGTTCAGTGCCCCATTTTTTAATTGGGTTAATTAGCATTTTAAAGTCTAGTTTCTTGAGTTCTTTATATATTTTGGAGATCAGACCTTTGTCTGTTGTGGGGTTGGTGAAGATCTTCTCCCAATCAGTAGGTTGCCTTTGTGTCTTATTGACTATGTCCTTTGCTTTACAGAAGCTTCTCAGTTTAAGTAGGTCCCATTTATTCAATGTTGCCCTTAATGTCTGTGCTTCTGGGGTTATACATAGGAAGCGATCTCCTGTGCCCAGCTCCTGTAGGGTACTTCCCACTTTCTCTTCTATCAGGTTCAGTGTGTTCGGGCTGATATTGAGGTCTTTAATCCATTTGGACTTGAGTTTTGTGCACGGTGATAGATAAGGGTCTATTTTCATTCTTCTACAAGATGACATCCAGTTGTGCCAGCACCATTTGTTGAAGATGCTTTCTTTCTTCCATTTTATACTTTTAGCTCCTTTATCGAAAATCAGGTGTTCATAGGTTTGTGGGATAAAATCTGGGTCTTCTATACGATTCCATTGGTCGACTTCTCTGTTTTTATGCCAGTACCACACTGTTTTCATTACTGTAGCTCTGTAATAGAGTTTGAAGTCAGGGATGGTAATGCCTCCAGAAGATCCTTTATTGTATAGGATTGTTTTGGCTATCCTGGGTTTTTTGTTTTTCCATATAAAGTTGATTATTGTCCTCTCCAGATCTGTGAAGAATTTTGATGGGATCTTGATGGGGATTGCATTGAATCTATAAATAGCCTTTGGTAGAATTGCCATTTTTACTATGTTGATCCTCCCAATCCAAGAGCAAGGGAGGTCCATCCATTTTTTGGTATCCTCTTCAATTTCTTTCTTCAATGCCTTAAAGTTCTTGTCAAATAGATCTTTCACTTCCTTGGTTAGATGTACCCCAAGATATTTTATGCTGTTTTTGGCTATTGTGAATGGTGAAGCTTCTCTGATTTCCCTCTCTGCTTCCATATCCTTTGTGTATAAGAGGGCGACTGATTTTTTGGAGTTGATCTTGTATCCTGCCACATTACTAAAGCTGTTTATCAGCTGTAGGAGTTCTTTGGTGGAGTTTTTGGGGTCGCTTATGTACACTATCATATCATCTGCAAATAACGAAAGTTTAACTTCTTCTTTTCCAATTCGAATCCCCTTGATTCCATTATGTTGTCTTATTGCTATTGCTAGAACTTCAAGCACTATATTGAAGAGGTATGGGGAGAGTGGACAGCCTTGTCGTGTTCCTGAGTTAAGTGGGATGGCTTTGAGTTTCTCTCCGTTTAATTTGATGTTAGCTGTCGGCTTGCTGTATATAGCTTTTATTATATTTAGGTATGACCCTTGTATCCCTAATCTCTCCAAGACTTTTAACATAAATGGATGTTGAATTTTGTCAAATGCTTTTTCAGCATCTAATGAAATGATCATATGGTTTTTTTCTTTCAGTTTATTTATATGCTGGATTACATTGATAGATTTTCGTATGTTGAACCAGCCCTGCATCTCAGGAATGAAGCCTACTTGATCATAATGGATAATTTTTCGGATGTGTTCTTGGATTCGATTTGCCAGTATTTTGTTGAGGATTTTTGCGTCGATATTCATGAGTGAGATTGGCCTGTAGTTCTCTTTCCTGGTTGAGTCTTTGAGTGGTTTTGGTATCAGAGTAATTGTGGCTTCATAAAAGGAGTTTGGTAATGACCCTTCTGTTTCTATCTTGTGGAATACATTAAGGAGTATAGGTATTAGATCTTCTTGGAAGATCTGGTAGAATTCCGCATTGAAACCATCTGGTCCTGGGCTTTTTTTGGTAGGGAGGTTTTTGATAACCTCTTCTAATTCTTCGCGACTAACAGGTCTATTTAGATTGTTCACCAGGTCCTGATTTAACTTTGGTATATGATATTTATCTAAAAAAGTATCCATTTCCTTTACATTTTCCAATTTTGTGGCATATAGGCTTTTGTAGTAAGATCTAATGATTCTCTGAATTTCCTCTGTGTCTGTGGTTATGTCCCCCTTTTCATT